TCACCAGCACACGCAGTCACTTCAATCTTGATCATTTTGAAACACCAACTACTTTCTCCTTAGTACAATTTATTTTATTTTACTTCATTTTGATGTAGAATTTCACATGATGTAACATGAAATACCCAAACGAACGTTTCTCAACAGTCTATTCAGCCTTGCATATCTGTTCCACTTGTGAAGATTTTTACTGATAATTGTTCACTTCACAAACTCCCTGCTGCTGGCAATTTATTTGCTTCTTATCCCATCGTAACAGCTTTACTTTTTAGGCCTGTTGATCTGTGATGCAATTCTATCCAGATCTCTGCGTCCTTGGCTTGATAACCTGCGACCACTAAAATATAAATGAAGAAACTGAAAAGCTGAGCCTCACAAGAAGCTAAAAATATGTTAATAAGGGTATTAATACAAGTTTGTTTATAGAACAAATTGATACCACTTTGCCCTGAAAACTCCCCAAATGTTACATATACCTCAGTATTGGTATTGTACCAATGCGATTATAAGTAAATAATCTTTGAGAATTCACACCTTCATCTTCCACATTAAAGTAGCCAGGAAATTAGAAATATGCGATCATTTTAACATCAGCTTTCACAGGGGAATTGAAGTCCATATCTACCCCACCGCTCAGTAAGCACGTCCCTATTCTGATCCCATTCTACCAAAAACTCCACTGGTCATGGAGCACCTCCCCATTCTGATCCTCACACTACTTCATGACTCGACTTTACACATACCCATTCTGATCCTCACACTACTTTATGACTCACTATACACCTACCCATTCTGATCCTGCTCTACCATCTTGAGTCCTTCTAGCGCCTGAAGGCATTTTCTGGCTACGGAGGCACTGCCTCTACACCAGTGACTTGGGGCTGTGCCATTATTCTTGCGAGCTGAAGAACATAAATAAATAACCATGTATTAAAGGCTGCGACTACAGCTGGGAGCTTGGAAACTGATCAACTACAGTAAATATATTAATTAAATGGATCAAAATGGCACACATATTGTTCTTACTTAGCACCTTGTGGATGTCAAAGTCATGCCTTGCAATTATTGTGATTGATAATCAAGCAACAGTTTTAGAGAAAGTTCCTTGATTTCACAATTAACTTCTTTTAACAAAATTATTAAGCTGAAGAATAAGGCTTCGTTCACATGCAATGTCTATTTTCTAATTTCTATTTTCTATTTGCGCTATCTTATGCTCACGGTCTGTGCCCTGAATATCCCGCCGCGTAATTACTGGCAGCGCGAGCCAGTTACTTATAGTAACTTAAAGTAACTGGCTTGCGCTGCCAGTAATTACGCCGCGGGATATTCAGGCCACAGACCGTGATCATAAGACATACCGCAAATAGAAAATAGAATTTAGAAAATAGACATTGCATGTGAACGAAGGCTAAGTGAATAACAGAACTATTAACCTCCGTAGACTTTAGTGAGGGTTCCCACACCAACTGGGGCTCTGACGTACAAGTGACGGGCAATGGAAGCTGAAACACCATGAAATTTATTAACAGTTATAGGCCTACAATGCTAAAAGATGCATTTAAATACCAAAGTTTTGGCCACAAAACCCTTCCTAACACTACCATTTAGTTTCAAATAGTATTATTAAAAAGACCAAAGAACATTGTTTTATATACTTTATGTACAAGTGACGGGCAATGGAAGCTGAAACACCACGAAATTTATTAACAGTTATACAATACTAAAAGATGCATTTAAATACCAAAGTTTTGGCCACAAAACCCTACCTAACACTACCATTTAGTTTCAAATAGTATTATTAAGAGAGGAATACCAAAGAACATTGTTTTATATACTTGGAAAAATGATACTTGAACGGATATTTTCTACTTTCTTTCTGTGCTATAAATATAACTCGGCAGCCTCATTTGAAAAGTATGCAATTGCATGCGCAGCTATACATCCATAGGAGTGAGGTTTATGCAATGTGTGCACAGTACTACTTCATTTAGTATGCTTTTATGTACTGGAGGGATAGATAAATACCAAAAATTTGAAGAAGGTGCAGTTTTGAAGCTAATTTTTGGCTGAACCAAAAATTTATTTGGTTTATAACTTGGCATGTCGACTTCGTTTTAGTCTTATAAGAAACTAGTACAAGTGGTTTATATGCATAACAGGAAATCCTCGCAGGCTTTATGTAAATTTAAATACTCTGTTAAATAACTTAACATTTTCTGAGGGGATTAAAAAAACATACTTTTATTCTCTTTTGCACCTGTCCGGAGTGGAGAGAGAGACAGAGAGAGAGAGAGAGAAAGTATACTTACCGCATCTAATGTAGAACCAGTCATCATCATATGGGCTTAGTTCATTGAAACGAGCCAGTTTGACCAGGTCTGTCCACTCAGGTACCTTCAACTTGCCTGACCTACAAAGTAAAAGAAAGAAATGCTTGCACACAGTTACAGCATTAGATTACCACAGGTTTCATTTGAACTATTCTGATACTATTAGGCCAGTACTTTTTTTAATGTCACATAACCAACGAAGCTTCATGACCATTATTCTATCATAGTCAGAAAGGTTTCATTTATGATAGATCCTGTAATTTGATTTACCTGTTGACTGTTCCATGTGTATGACAACATTCTCAAACCCACCCTGGGGGGAGGGGGCAAGAGGAACTAACAAGTCATCATCAAGACCGAGATAATTACCTGGTCACCTTCACCTGAACAGGTAATTCAGTTGTGACCAAGTCTGTCAGAGTGAACAGATGAAACAGTCAACAGGTAAATCAAATTTCAGGATCTATCATAAATGAAAACTTTCTGACTATCAAAACTAAGATCCAATTAAACTATTTTCACATTATTCTATCCATTTGAATGTGAATTTTATTAAGACTGACACACAAACAACACTTTTCAAACTTGCAGACCTACTCAAATTTGTGTCCCACTGCATGTGCCAAACGTACCCAGAGTGCCAACACATTATCCATGACAGGGAGGGAAATGGGAATTTTTCAGCACTGGTCCACTTGGACCAGTTGACTCTGGAGGTAGTGGTCCCAGGCCTTGGGGCACTGGTCCAATTAAAAAAGAATCGAAAAGGGGTGGACGGTTTAAACATACTGGGCAATTTCGTTTTTTTAAATTATTATTAAAATGCGCCAAAAAAAATAAAGCAAATGAAGTTTAATTTTCATGTTTTTATTTTGAACTTATTTTAAAGGAATTGAAATCAACCAAATAGCTCCCAAAAAATTCATCAACATTTATTCACATTTTTAAAACTAAACAGCTTTTTCTCCCCACCTTTTATGGTAAAGGAAATGACGCCAAATTACACAATAGGAATCAAGTATTTTAACTATTAGGTTAAAAAATATAAAGGAGTTATTAATCTCTGGTAAACTGTGTTTACCCAAACAAGGTTTGGAATTAGAACAATGGGTTAACACCCATTGTATTAACACAAAATAGGAAGTCCCAAAAGTTGAAATATAACCATAAGACGGAGCAAAAAATCCTCGCCTTTTTATTTTCCTCAAAAATCCGTAGCTGTAATAAAGGAAGGTACCCGCGCTCTCTTTTTTTTACATTTAGTGCTAGGTTGTTCACTTTCGTCATTTGTCGGTGTTTTTCGTTTTAGAGGCTCTGGCGGCTTTGCCACACCAGGCAAAAACCTCCACATCGCTATAAAATTGTAAGATAAGTTGAACTAATTCAATTCACACACTAAATGTAGTTCTGATTTAATTTCCAATAAGAAAATATTTCGGCAGCATGCTAACGGCCCCAACGGGAAAAGTAACGTTTCTTGTAAAATCTTGAATGTAACTATAAGCTATTGACATCGAAAAAGACCAGAAACCATTTAAAGAATTATATTTACCCTTCAAAACTACAAAACAGCACTCAAGTAAATTAGTATTTTTACCGAAAAGGTTTGTTGCGTACGTAGCTTTTCAATCCTCGAGGCTCTGCTACTTCATACGGCGCGAATGCTGTGGTAAAATCTGATTGGTCAAAATTGACAGTCTGATGCAAGAGGTCAGGTCGCATGCAAATAACGTCTGACGTGTTCATAAGCGTCATTAAAATAGGTCAACACATCTGAAACTCGCGTAGTCTTCAATGCAGACAAAATTGGGAGCGGATTTTTTTTAAAAAAAGGAAAAATATCTAAGGACAAGTAAAAACCCCGTATATTTCTCATGTTGCCGCTGCTTATAGAGCAGTCGCCCATTTGGACCAGTTACCGAGATTGGCACTGGCCAATTCGTTTTAGCGGTCGCATTTGGCGACTGGCGACCGCCCATTTCCCTCCCTGCATGATAACACGATGTGATAGCAATGATGTTGTTTAACATACATGTACACCCTAACTCGAGTTAGCAGGGACAGAATAAACAGCATGGTCTGTGAAAGTGTTTGTCAGTTTCTTTAAACACCATATCACCACAACATCAACTATGTGAATACCGAATTCACATTCAAACTACTATTTGTACAGTTCATAGAAAGAATAATTTAACTTAACTATAATTGGCAATTTTAATTTTTTTCTCAAATGTGTCTTTTGTATTCTATTATTTATTCTAACACATTCCTCAAATTCATTCACTTACTTCTTCAGGAAGGCGCCCAAGGCTTTGGTAAATTTATGCTGATCCACGTCCTTGACGCTTACACCTGGCATCTGGAATTATATTATAACATTGAAGTAAAGCGCAGACAAATGAACACGTGAGAAATATATCCTTCTCATCAACCCCCTCCTCACATAGACAAACAGTTTTCACTCTAAGAAAACAGGTCTGTCTAGGTCACTCATTTTCGGGACCTTGTTCATCGATTCTAAGCCCTATACCCGACACGTTTAATCAATGACATTTTGTTCTGTGGCATTATAGGTTTTAGATTTTTTTCTTGTCGGTCATATGGACTGACAATAATTCTGATATATCGACTTGTTTCTGTTTGAGAGTAAATTCAATCCTCAAGTACTTCTGTACTTGGCCAAATATCAGTTATTTCAAACACATAATGGGCAAATTGGGGTTTACATTATATACATATATACAGATGTCTACGATAAATATATGTTTGCGTAAATATGTCCATTCAGTGAGTATATATAAAGCAAAAAAGTCTCAGAATTTTCGTTTTGTTGTACCTTGCTAATGTGCACAGGAAAAAAGAGGTCAAGTAAGGGGCTTCACTTCCTGTCCACGGTGTACCGTGAAACTAGGCCATGCTAGTAGATGGCGCTGCAAGACAAACCGATTTGAAAACTTGAGGGGAACTATTTCAAATAGTTTTATTGGCTTTTAAAGAAAATTACAGTCATAATACGGTTAATTGGTTATATTTTGCTTGTTTATTCGACAACAGAACCATCTTAAGCCCTGCACTGACTCATGGTCTATTAGCGAATCAGGTTTGTACCTGTCATTTGCTCCGTGTCTATTGTTTACTCATCGCCAAGGCTGCAAAGCAACAACAATAAAAAGGAACATTTTTAAAACTCGCGTCAAATATCATTGATTTTGAGAATCACACAGACGTGCTTCATTTACCAAAGGAAAAGGTAAGTTTTAAAACTAAACCTGAATATTAGTGGTTCAAATAGACGGGATAAATGCAGTTACAATGTTTTTGTTCATTTTTTTTTTTAATTCACGGTACATATTTAAAAGCCCACTTCACTTGACACTTAATTTTAATGCCGTTGCATTTGCAACATCATTTTGTATAAAGCTTAATCATTGTGTGTACTGCACATTAGTAAGCGTAAGTTGCTTTTAATCAATATTAATATAAGTTCAATTATGCCATGTATTTTGACAGTGACATTTTTTCAGAAAATAAAATTAATAAAGAATGAGTTTATTTTCCGAATGAAAATAAACTCGGGGAAGGGGGGGTGTTTCAAATGTGAAAAAAAAAAAAATATACTCTTTTTATTTTAGCAGCTAAAATATCAACATGAGTTCTGCAGAGATTCTGAAGCCCAAATCCATGGTCCGCCCCAAACATTGGTCTGAGGAGGTGGAGAATGCCTACAGATTCCAGCTGGCTGGATACAGAGATGTAACAGAATATAAGGCGATACACAATGTAGAAGATGTAAGTGTTAAACGTATTATATTTAACATATGATATATCTCTAACTATGCTTTGAAAGATTATGAAAAATTTTGGTGGCAGTGCCAGAAGTTGGTTAAAAAGTAATGTAATACGGGTATTGTATATTAAAAGTACGTTTTTATTCGTTTGGCTTGTTCCAAGACATAAACAAGTGTGCACTAATATTAGCTATGATCAAAGGATTTTATGCATACATCAAACAGAATATAGTATAGACAAAACGCAGGGTATCAATAAAATCATTTTTACAATTGATTCCGTAAACTTTGGTATTTTGATCTGTATTGAGCCATGTAATCTCAAACAGCTGAACTCATTGCTAGCATAGATTTTAACTGGGATATGATTGATTAGTCTGTCACGAAAGTACCATTTGCTTAAAAACAACATTTAGCTTTAATGACTAAAGCGCTGGCATACATCTGATAAATGAGAGTGGAAATGTCAAACAAACTTTTCCTGAATTATTGATTTTTACAAATTTAAAGAAATTTATCTATTACAAGAGATTACAAAAATGATTCTTAAAAAGTATGTGATTATTACAAACATGAAATGCAAGAAGAACCTAGGTTCTGGATAATGCATCTGGAGGAACAGGTGAAAAAAAATCAATATCAATGTATTGACCACATATTAATCATTCCAACATCACACACTAAAACATCAAAACATTTCTTGCTGGTGCAATATATGTTATAAGTTGTGACATTAATACAGATATTAGAATGGTAGCTCGATTGTTGATTAGCAAATCATTTCAATTGATCATTACTACTCTTTCCCTTTTATAACTAAGGTTTCAATGGAATGTCTCATTTAAGAATTAGTTATTAATATATTAATTATTATTACACTTAAAGTCTATTGTGTTGAATGTGCCACATTATATAAAATTTATTATTTTTATTATTGTTCTTTTCAGTGTGAAAGGTGGCCAGACAGTGGTTTTGTGAAGAAGCTAAAAAGGAAAGAGGATGGCTACTTTTACTACTATAACAGAACCAGAGAATGCCAAGACAAAGACATTAACAAGACAAAGATGTACTCTTATTGAACGCAGCATCTTTCATGCCATTAAACCAGGAAGACATTTTTTGAAAAGTCCAGGATGCAAATTTATTCAAATTAAAGACTAAATGATTTTCTAAAAGGAAAAAAAATCTCATCATTGGATGTTACATAGTTGTCCTTCTCATAGCTATTTTTGAAGCAGGACTGAAGGCATCACCTCCACGATGAATATTGAGAGATTATAACAGCACAAACAAATTGAGTAGTCCAAAACAAAACAAAACATGATATTTCTGGATTAATTTTTTTCACTGTTAACGTGTCATTGATTGTGTAAGCGTGGAGTGATTAAAGCGTGTGAGTGGGTGTCTGAGCATAGTATGGCTTGGTCATGTGGTACAGAAAAACATTTAGTACATGACTCACAAACTGGAAGCGTGAGTTATTCTACTGGGAAGGGTGGTGGGGGTAGGCAATTACTTTTCAGTTAAAGGAGTTTGGACAACATGTTGTCCTTGCCTATTTTGCAGAAAAAAATTTCATGGTTCACTTGTGGGTGCTGACATCTTTTATCATTAACATAAACTATTTTCATTTCATCACATTTATGCTCACGTTTTTATGTACAGACACAGATGTGTCTGTACATATTGCCATCACCTGCGTCTGTCGTCGCCGTCGCCGATGGCGATGCCGATGCCGATGCCGTCGCCGTGCACTTTCCTTGTAAACACGATAAGTGGAAGGCAGTTTTACTTTTTGGCTTTATATTTACAGAGCTGATGAATATTCATAAAACGCAGGTCAAGTTCGAAAATCAGCATGATCGGGCCATTATTGTAGAAGTTATGCTGTTTTTTCACTTTTCAGCATATATGCAACCTTGTAAACACATTTTAAGGAAAACCGTTAGGCCTGTTGTCATGAAACTCACAGGAGTAATCAATCTTACTAAAACGCAGGTCAAGTTCGAAAATCAGCATGATCGGGCCA